ACAGAGGAAATGGAAGGGAAGGAGAAGATATGCTGAGAAGTGAAGGGCCAGGGGCACTGACCCTGTCTCCAGATCCGGACTCAAAAAGGCATGGCGCGGGGACTTGGGAATGCCTTTCTCAGCCGTGTTAGACCGGCCGGGATTCATCTCACAGACGCCACAGCCTTGGCACGTGGGGGTGGAGACAGAAGGGAGAAAAGGGTGGGAGCAGTTCCGAGTGCGCGCCGGCCGCTGTGGGCAGAGAGGGGCACGTCCACCCCCGTGAGGAGCTGCTGGGCGAGCACTGGGGAGCCGGGCTTGGCGGGGCAGCGGCCGCAGCAGCTCCTGTGGGAGTGCGTGCCGGGGTCCAACGGAGAGCCTCTGCACGCCAGCGGGCTCGCCAGGTTCCAGAAACAGCTCGGGGAAGGCCTTTTCATGCCGCAGGGCACACCGTCGGTGAGAGTCTCTGTGAAGTGTATACAGTTCATTAACCAGGAAGATGTCTTCGTGGGTGAGTACAGAGTTCGTGAAGTGAAAGTCGCTCAGTTGTATCCGACTCTTTGCGACCCCATGGACTATACAATCCATGGAATTCTCCAGGCCAGAATACTGGATTGGGTAGCCTTTCCCTTCTTCAGGAGATCTTCCCAACCCAGGGATCGAGCCAGGGTCTTCAGCATTGCAGGCGGATTCTTTACCAGCTGAGTCACAAGGGAAGCCCAGGAATACTGGAGTGGATAGCCTATCCCTTCTCCAGAAGATCTTCCTGACCCAGGAATCGAACCCAGGCCTCCTGCATTGCAGGTGGATCCTTTACCAGCTGAGCCCTCAGAGAAGCAGAGTTAGGGAGACCTACAAAAAGCATCATAGACTGAAAGAATTTCCGCTTGTCCTGACCCCATTAAGTCCTGTGCCTTAGAGATAATTAATAAGAGGGCGCTGGTGAGGTGAGGGGGGTGGAGAATGAACACGGTGATCTTGGTGACAGTGAGCTTGTAGAATGGGCCCGCCGCTGAGCTAGCAGCTCATGTGCTTTGTCTTGTTCTGTCTACAAAACGATGCTCCTTTATAGGTGAGAAAACGGAGGCACAGAGAGGCTAAGGCACTTGCCCAAAGCCACAGGGCGTGTGCTGGGGCAGGACTTTGGACAGAGGCCGTGTGGCCCCAAGAGTACAGTCGTTACCACACACGAAGCTTCCTCCCTGGAGCGTGGTGAGACGAGGGGTCGAGCGAGCCCGGTGTCCTGGGGCTGCCTGCTGAGGGCTACCCACCTCTCTCTGTCCCCTTCACACCAGGTGAGCCCCTGGGGAGCGGAGGCTCCGGCCACTCGGGCAGAGGGCTCCGGGAACAGGCGGGGCTGCGTCTCCTGATGGCCGGACGAATGCAGGGCTGTGCCAGGCCAGGGGATGTGTGCCCGGGACTCCATCCTCCTGCTCGTCCCCGGGGCTCCCTCGTCTTTGTCGCAGGACTTAGGTACTCTGGGTGTTTTCGCCGCAGGAGTGACTCTGACGTGATTTGCACATGGGGAACGGAAGTGCCGTGAGTGCGGTGGCTGCTCTTCCAGCTGAGTGTGTGACCCGGACAATGGCCAGGGGCTTCCAACCTCATCCAGCTCTTCTCGTGGGCCGCTCCAGGGCTCCTCTGGGGGTGCTGAGCACGTGGGTGATGCTGAGATTGAAGACCGGCATCTATTTTCAGAACAGCCCTGTCTTTATTCAGTTAAACCTCTAAATACTCCGAGGTCAATACTGTGTGTCCCCTTCTTACTTAAGGAGCTGGTCAGGGGACACAGACAGTGAAGGACGCCGACGGGACACAGAGGCGGGTCGTGTGACACCAGAGTCTGGCTCTCAGCCGCCAGGCTAGAGACCACGTCCTTGCTCAGAACCCTTCAGTGGTTTTCCCAGTTTCCATAGTGAAAGTGAAAGCGTTAGTTGCTCAGTCATGTCCGATTCTTTGTGACCCCGTCCATGGACTGTAGCTTCTCTATCCATGGGGTTCTCCAGGCAAGATACCAGAGTGGGTAGCCTTTCCCTTCTCCAGGGGATCTTCCCGACCCACGAATCGAACCTGGGTCTTCTGCATTGTAGGTGGATTCTTTACTGCCTGGGCCACCAGGGATGTAGTGTAGGTAGATGCATCTCATTCCTGCTAGGATTATATGCTTTGTCAAAATTACTTTTTAATTCTTATGCACATTATGATTTTTATCACTTCCAGGCCTGGGATGTGCCTTTGAATTCTAACAATGGCACTTCCTACAGGAAGGCTTCCCAGATAGCCTTGTTTTGGATTAGCTGTCTCCATCCTTCATCCCTATAGGCTTGCTGGCCTAGTGCTTGCTATAGTATGTTTTCATTGTCTCTTCAATTCTCTGTCTGTCCCACCTAACTGGGGGGACCCTGCGTCCTCTTCATTTAATGTGTAGACAGGTACTTGGTAATTTAATCCATTAATTGATACAACCTGTATGTGAGACTGTAATAATTTTTACTGATAAGAATTATAACTGTGGTATAGATTTTAAATATTTAAGTTATTGTGGGGGGGTACCATTCTGTCAGATTTGCTTGATGTTCTAGATGAGATCCCTAGTGACTGATACATTAAATACTGACCATTTTGAAGAGATACCGCAAAAAAATGGAAAAACCCTTTCCCACAATCCCCAAAACAGACAAACCAAAAATAACCTCCACCTGAAGCATCTGTCTTTGAACGCCAGAGTCCTGCTGGTTTATATGTATGTCTGTCCTCTGGAATTACTGGTATTTTCCCTCCTGTATTTTCTTCCAGAAGTTTTGTAACTTTAGTCCTTACATTTAGATCTATGACACATTCCTAATTAGTTTCCCCACTTGGTATGAGGTTAGGACAAAAGTTCGTTTTTTCCCAAGTGGATCTCTGATTGTTCTGACTGTTCTTTGCCCCATTGTGTTGTCTGCATATTTGTCAAAAATCAGTTGACCACATACATGTGAGTCTATTTCTTGGACTGTCTTTTGTTCCGTTGATCTATAGGTCTGCACTTACACCATGCTGTCTTGTAGCTTTATACAAAGTTGTTCGATAACTGGGGTAGATTTAAATTCTGGACACTCTTCTATGATAATTAGTTGCAATATCGTATCATAACAGGTTTCATGCTTTTAAGATATCTGGTGAGTCCCCTACCTCAGTTGACCTAATGTGTGAAATCAGGCTGATTGTTAAGTGACAGGTAGAAATTCCTGATCTAGTTCGGCCTACCTTCATAATTAAATATGCGAACAGACAAGGGATTCTCGAGCCCCGACTGTGCTGGTAGTAATGACCTCAGACACTAGTTTCAGCTTTGTCCCCCGTCCCACCTTTTGTACAACCTGGTAACAGGGACCTTACACAAACCTGGATGAGACGTGGCAGAAAACACTGGCGGGAGCTGCCAGGGGGTCAGTCTACAGCTTTATGCCATGTTCCAGAGCAGACATTGGTCCAACCTGAAAGACCTGACTTACGGTTTAGAGTATTTACATAAGTCTGCTCTTAGAGACCTGAAATTATAGGAGTAAAAAGTATGTACTGTGTCTTTTGGGAAGCGTAGTTACACAAATAATATCGGCTTTAAAATTTTAATATCCAGGGACTTCCTTGGTGGTCCAGTGTTTAAGACTTTGCCTTCTAAAGCCGTGGGTACAGGTTTGACCCCTATTTTGGGAGCTAAGATCCCTCATGTCTGACAGCCGAAATAACCGAAAACTTTTAAAATAGTCCACATCAAAAAAACAATCTATAAAAAAATTTATCGACTTTTAAAAAAACATAATATTCAGAGTGGTTTTCATTTTTGAAGGTATGATTTCGTAGACTCTTTTTGGTTAGGTCTGTGTCTGAGAAAGCAGTCTGTCCACCCTGCCCTCGGATGAGTCTGGGCCAGGGGCTGGGGACTCTAGGATGCTAGAGATGGAAAGGGTCTTCGAGAACGCCACTCAGAGAAGGAAAAGGAAATTCTGTGAGTTTGCGCAGTCCTACGAGAAGAACAGATTAAAACCCAGGCATACAAGCCCTCTGTCAGAGTGTTCACACGGGACGCGTGCCTGGCCCCGTAGACACGTGGAGGAGTGCTGGTGATGCTGGAAGAATATTAGCGTGAGCCAGCAGAAGCTCCTGCTTGGGAGGTCAGAAAAGATCGACCCCCAGGGGCTGCGAACACTCAGAGCCGCGTGAGGCCACCGTGCGTGACACAGCACGGGCAGCGTCCGATGGTCCGCGACGAAAAGCTTGGCTCAGGAGTAATGCGGGGCTGAGTGTGTCTAGGAGGCCACGGGTGACGAGAGCGCTCCCGGGACGTCTGCTTAGAGGAGGCTCCAGGGCAGGAGGGAGGCGGGCCGTGTGCTTCTGAGACGGGGCCCGCCTTCGAGGGCTCTGCACTCCCCGTGGGGACGGGTGTGAGGATGCCCAGGAGATGTTATGAGTGCTGAGGTGCCGAGGAGCTTGTAAAATCAGCTCTGCTGTTCTTTTGGCTGTTTGTTTTTTTTCTTTCCCTTCCTGGATTAAGGACTCTTAGAAAGACATTCCCAGTTCTGACCATGGCCGGAGAAGCATGAGGAAAATGCTTTTGTTTGCTCAAGATACCGTCAGGTTCTTGATCAAAAGGGTCTGCCTGGAGATAAAACCTTATATGTAATAAATGCAGGAAAATAATATTTGAAGCCCACTTTCAAAAACTCATCTCTTTTTTTTTTTTCCTAACCAAGGCATCAATAATAAGCTACTGGTTTGACTTGACTAACTCAATCTCTCTCTTGAGGTGTGGTATCTTTCTGTCTTTCTGTCTGGCTCTCTTGGCATTCTTTTTGTATCTGTCACGCCCGTGTGTGTCTGTCTGTCTGTCTGTCTGCTTGCCCTCTGTACCTGTGAGTATCTCCTCTCTCTCCCTGTCTCCCTCTCTCTCTGTCTTTCTTTGGTGTAGCCAGAATTTCTGACTCGGAACAGAAGTCTTCACACTGGGATTCACGTGTGGTGTCTCTTTGCTTTTCCAGTTCCTCCAGGAGTGATACAGAATGGAACGCGGGTTCTGAGCCGAGGCCTGTTCCCTGGGGTCCGGCCGTTGCCAGTCACGCCCATTGGGATGGCAGCTGTGAGGTAAGGGGCCCTGCTGGGCGAAGCCCCCCTGGGCAGCGGGACGGGCGCTCTGTGCCCACGGGCCACCTGGGGGCTGGGGAAGACCAGCCTCTGCGTGGTCAGGGTGGAAGTAACTTGGGTGTGTGAAAAAGTTAAAGGAGCACCCAAGGACTCCAATCTAGGTGCCAGCTTCTCCTTCCCGGGCCGTCAAATTACCCTGGTCTCTGCACATGAGATGAGGCAAAATGGCAGTGAAGTTGCTCTATTCTGAGAAGGTGGGGTAAAGTCAGCAGAAGGAAATGGTGGGCAAGGTGGTCATTAGATTCTGGGCTAACTGGTCGACCTCTAGACCCAGCCCTCTCACTTCCCAGTCCTTTCACTTTGGGTGCACGTCTGACCTCTGTGGGTTACTTCCCTCATCCCTGAAGCTCCTCTGCCTCCTGGGAAGGCTTGCAATGAAACATGCAGAACAATCAGGTGTGAAAAGCGCTTCCGTGAGCAGTCTGCAAATACCAGGTGGCATCAGCTCCCCCCACTTCCGAGAATCAGCTCAGCTGCCAAACCTCATGGACTTTGGGAGGTTTCTTTCCTCCACCTTCTCAGCTCTCCTGCCAGCCCCAGGGGAGGGCCCATCGCTCGCCCGGGAGGGAGCCTCCCTCCTGTCCTCCTTGCTGCCTCTCTCCCCACCCCTGCCCTCCCATCAGCTGTCGCCAGGCTGGCTTTCTAAAACGTGCCTCTCCAGCTGTTTGCAGAACCATCCCCGTCGACTACCACCGTCTGACCCTGACACCCTGCCGGTACCGCCCTCCTCCAGCCAGATTTGTTCTCCCCGTGATCCAGTGTTGGCCCATCTTATCCCACAGTTTCCTCTATGTAGACTTCCTCCGCCTCCATGTAGAAAGCAGCACATCCTTCTCGGCCCATCACCAGAATGACCCCTTCACCAGGCCTTACTGAGCAGGCCTCTGAGTCCGCATCAGATTAGTTTCTCCCCTTGCTTTGGGCGTGGCCCTCTGGTGAGTGGTGCTGTGTGTGTCCCCTCTGTCCTCTGTGGTTGGCTTGCTGAGGACAAGGGCTGGCTCTCACTCACTTGGCTGAGGCCTCGTCGCACGTTCAGTGTTGGGCCCTGATTGCTTGTTCAGAAGAGACCTGCCGTGCTGGGCTGCGTCCCTTCACGACACTGGATCCCAGCTTCTTTCCAGCACTTCTGGACCAAGTTCACACCTGAAGGCCATCTCGCTTTCCTATTGTTTCATGTCCCAAAGGAAACCATCCCAGGAAGTGTGTTGATGGGGACTTGAGGGGACTGCAGGCTCAGGCTCTGTGATGGGAATCAACCATGTGGAGATTCTCCGCTCACTCCTGGTCTTGTTTGTATTTTAAACTTTGGCTGCATATGGGGGATCTTAGTTCTCTGACCAGGGATCCAACACACTTCCCCTGAGTTGGAAACACAGAGTTAACCCCTGGATCACCAGGGGAATCCCTCACTTGTGTCTTTTAACCCTCCCAGCAAACCAGCTGCTTTTGCCAGAGTTGTTATTTTTCAGACGGTAGGTCATGTTCGACTCTTTGCGACCCCATGAATCGCAGCACGCCAGGCCTCCCTGTCCATCACCAACTCCCAGAGTTTACTCAGACTCAGGTCCATCGAGTCAGTGATGCCATCCATCTCATCCTCTGTAGTCCCCTTCTCTTCCCACCTTCAATATTTCCCAGCATCAGGGTCTTTTCCAATGAGTCAGCTCTTCGCATCAGGTGGCCAAGGTATTGGAGCTTCAGCTTCAGTCCTTCCAGTGAATAAATAAGTAAGTAAGTGTTAGTCGCTCAATCGTGCCCGACTCTTTGCGACCCCATGGACTGCAGCCCACCAGGCTCCTCTGTCCATGAGATTTTTCAGGCAAAGATACTGGAGTGGGTTGCCATTTCCTTCTCCAGGGGATCTTCCCAACCCAGGGATCGATCCCAGGTCTCCTGCATTGCAGACAGATTTTTTACTGACTGAGCTACAATGGAAGCCATGAATAAGTCAAGGTTGATTTCCTTTAGGCTGGACTGATTCGATTTCCTTGCAGTCCTACCTTCAGAACAGATGCTGGTATTTGGAACCTACTGAGGAGGGAAGTTGGTAGGAATTAGAATAGTAATTGTATGATTAAAGCCAGTTATCACTTCTGCTAACCAGACATGGCGATACTTTCCAATAATGTGGAAAGGTTCTTTTTCTTGTGCTCCTCCCGTATCTTTCTTAGATATCTTGAGATCAGTAATTTATGACCTTCAGTTCATGAATGGTAAGCCTCTTCCTTCGAGCCAAAATAGCTATGCCTTGGCCTCACATTATGAGAGAGACATTCTCTGTCTTCTGTTCTTTCTTAAAATCACTTCTGCCTAACCTCCTCATTTACCTTTCTGGTTAAGAAGACGAAGACTCTCCTCACATGCAGTAAAGATCTCCTTTCATGTGCAGATAGTAAGCATAGACTTCCGGTTTATTGTTCTCAGCATCTTTTCAGTGCCTTTTAAGCAAAGGGAGCTCTCCCTGCGACTCCAGCTGTTCCCTGGGAGAAGGGAAGAGCCAGGCAGAGGGAACGGAGGCCTGAGACTCCCCTGGCTTTCAGCAGGAGCTGCCTCCTAATTTTATTACCCTCACGGCATATATGATTGCTGACTTTTAGAGATTAGTACCCTCTAGAGGTATTACCTAAAATACTGATTTTTTAAGCTGGTTATATTTTGGTTAGAAGGCAGCACAGCACTGTTGTCGATGTTGTAGTTCAGTTGCTCAGGCGTGTCCGACCCTTTGTGGCTCTTTGTGATCCCCTGGACCGCAGCACGCCAGGCCTCCCTTTCCCTCACCATCTCCCGGAATTCGTTCACGTTCGTGTCCACCGAATTGGTGATGTTATCGATAGCACTGCAGCAAGACAGTGATATCTTATTTCTGGTCAAAGAGCTGCTACTCATCCATTCCAGCCAACACCTCGCTTAGGCCCCTTCCACAGTAAAATTCCACAAGCAGTTTCCGGGTCTAGACATGTGTGTCCGTCAGGTCCAGCTGGGAGAGACAGAAGCCACACTCAGGACTCGAACAGGGAGACTTCAAAATAAAGAACCGTTAGCCAGGCAGAAAGTTAGTAACCAGGCGACTGGAAGAGAACTCGGGGTGTTAGGGAGGGAACAACTGCAGGAAGCGGCCGCGTCCCCTTGGGTGAGGGTTGAATGATTGCCCCTCGAGGCTGGGTCTCAGAGCTCCCAGGAGCAGCCGGGGCTGGCACCCAGGCCTCTCAAGAGGAGCCAGGCGGGCGCGGAACCCTGCAGGCGGCCTGGGGCTGTAGCTCTGCATGCCCGTCCGCTCCAGAAGCACGCAGACCTGGGCAGCAAGCTTCCCCAGCGTCACCCGAGGTCCGAGCAGAATCCTCTCGGTAAAACGAACAGCCGCCGTGTGTAGAGACAAGCTCCCATTTGTACAAACAGAGAGAAAACCACAGTGTGTTAGCCATTATCCAACACCAGCTCTGCACTTTCCACCTCGGCTTTAAGAGACTTCAGGGAGAGGAAGGTCGCAAGCTCCAGAAGGTCAGGGACCCTCGCTTATAATACCGTTTCCTTCCTTATGGCCCAAGTGCCTGGCAAATAGGTGGTGCGACACCTTCAGGAAAAGTGAACATAAACATAACCATGTGGGTATTTGAGGGAGACTGTGTAAAACCCATGAAGACGTGTTTAGGGAGAGGGAAAATCCTGTTTTGCGCTTTCACCTTCATTGTAATTGAAATTTCTTTTTTTTTTTTTTAATTTGGCCTCGTGTCAGTTGAACCTAGATTCAGCTGAGGTTAAAGGGAAAACAGCCCAGCAGAGACCAGAACGACAGCAGATGTCATCTGCCAGACCACGTGGTGGTGACCAGGGGTCCCTGGGGGCTCCTGTGCTTGCAGGGGTGGCTGCCCCATCGCTCAGCGGGGGCTGGCAGGAGGGCCAGAGGTCATTAGAGCCCCCTGAAGACCTGTCTCCTACCCTGCTGTGTGTGACAGGTTTTCCGTGTGAGCCTAAGGAACCTCTCCTTAAGTAAAAATATTTGTCTTTCGGGGATTTGTTGGGCTTTTTCTTCCCCTCTGCTGAGTGCCAAAGGCCATGTTTGTTTGTCTGAGCTCTGAAACTGTTATTGACATAGATGAAGTGTTACTTTTATTAGCTGATCACTACACAGCTTGTATTTGCTGGGTTCCTTTGCATGTAATTATGATGTGAAATCTCCTTGTAAGAGTATCTGTCAATAGTGTAATTGACTTTACCATGTTGACTTTCTACTCAATAACCTCAGGGATCGGCCCATCCTTAGACATTGGAAACCTGCTTATTTTTTAAATTTGCCTAGGCGGGGGGTCCTTAAGACACATTATCCTCAAAATAACCTCTCCCACTTCTCCAAGTTTTATGCGTGTTCTGCTGCCTCTCCAGTGAAATTCCTTGCAGGGAATACATTTGAATGGAACAGTTCTAGCCCTAGAAGAACTGTTTCTGGATCTCTTGGGAAAATGCAGTGTAAGATTTCTTCCATTCATGGAACTAGGGGCTGCTTCTCAACTACAAGCCACAGCAGCTCTCCTGGGTCTGAGCCGCCTTGTTTTCGAGGCTTGAGGCTCTTTGACCCTCAGCGACCTCTCAGGTGGCAAAGAACAACTACCAACGTCAAGGCTTGCCGGAGGATTGAGAGAGAGCTGGTGGGCGCGCTGTCCTCCACGTCAGACTGTGTGCTCACTCACGTCCAGCTCGTACAGCCCCAGGGACTGAAGCCCACCAGGCTCCTCTGTCCTGGAATTTTCCGGGCAAAAATTCTGGAGTGGGTAGTCCTCTCCTCCTCCAGGGGATCTTCCCAACCTAGGGATTGATCCCACATCTCCTGCATCTCCTGCATTGCAGGTGGGTTCTTCACTGCTGAGCCGTCGGGGGAGCCTTTCATAGGTCAAGAGAGCTCAGAAATTGCACACACGAACTTGGGAACCAGGTTTCCTGGGCCC